AAAAACCAGTCTCCTTCATCAGTGAGATTCCCAAGCTCTGCAGAGCTGGCATTGCTGTTTCTTATTTATCCTCCCATAACTTTCTTTTTTCATTTTCTCTACCTATCGTAGGAACCACCCTATACCCCAGAACACTTTATTAAGACCGTATCGCATAGGTAGTTAAGACAGACACTGAATGAGCTAACAAAGTTTCACCGGGCCTGGCCCCTAGTCACTCTGCAGATCTTCTCAACAGATAGGAGCTAGAACACTGTTAGGCAGAGGCAGGCCCAGAGTCTGATAGATGTACCTCCCAGGAGCTGCAGAACGGATGGTGGGCTTCAGGAGGTGAGCTGAGATCTGCTGAGGTAGCTTTATGCCAGGGCCCAGGGACAACCTTCCGTGAGATGAATCAAGCTTCAAGATAGGGAATCCAGGAAGAAGGCCGCTTATGGAATGGGGCTAGCAGAGGGGATGTCATTTCGGGTCTTCCTTCGTGAGAGCTGGGAGTATCCAAGGGAAGTCATGTACTATTGATGGGCTGGAGCAGTGAGCACCAGACAATGGGAAAATGGAGTCTGCTGGGCTGACCACAGGGGCAGAAAGCCACACATCACCCCGGTCCCTTCATTCAGCTGCACTAATGTGGGATGAGTCAGAAAGCCTCTCCGGAAGAGAGATTATCTTTTCTCAGGTCTAGATATCGATGTTCCCCTGAATAGTTTGTCTGCGACAACTTGGGGGTCCGTTAGGGGTTCCTTTAACCAAATTAATTTTCTTTTTTTTCTAATCATTTTATTAGGGGCTCATACAACTCTTATCACAATCCATACACACATCAATTGTGTAACACGCATTTGTACATTCATTGTCATCATTCTCAAAACATTTCCTCTCCACTTAAGCCCCCGGCATTAGGTCCTCATTTCCCCCACAAATTCATTTTCTACATCTCCCTGGAGTTACCCCTTCCCTCACAAACCTCCCAGCTGTTCTCACAAGGTACTTGGGACAGGGCTGTTGAGTGGGGGAGGAGCCTGGGAGATAGCTCTGATGGTGGCACCCCATCTCTAGGGTCTCCATTCAGGGGCAAAGGTGATGAGCTGGGGATGAGCAAATGCCCTAGTAAGCAGCCCCACCCCCACCCCCCCCCCGAGCACTGTGGTGAGTTGCAGCTGTAGTGGTGCCTCTGAGGATGGCATTGACCTCCAGCAAGCAGACAGACCGCAACAAAGATGTGTGTGATGCTGCTGCCCTGCTTCATGACAGCAGACATGAGCAGTTCGTTTAGTGGCTGCCTCAGCACCAGCAGTCCTGCTCATTGTAGGAAACCCTCTAGGATGTCTGGGCCAGGGCCAGGTTGCTCATCCCCTGCTAGCTGCAGAGGTCCATTTACCATTGAAGGTATATCACCAAGATGTTGCAAGTGCCACAGAGCAGCGCTGAGTGTGCAAAGGCGACAGCTTGGTACCAGGGTGTGGTCCCCTGGGGCCAGCGACCAGGTGGGAGAAAGCTCACAACAGCAAGTTGGTCAGCTCAGTGGTAGCATAGCTGGGGAGGGTTGAAAGGGCACTGTGCCATCCGCATGACAGGCCCAACAATGGAGCCTGGGCACCATACATGACAGGAGACAGGAGTAGCATCAGCATCCAGTGGGCCTGTCTGGGACAGCTAAGTCTGACAGACTGCTGGCCTCTACACTCATGCCTATACCAGATCCCTGGTGGTTTTTGCTGTAAGGGGTAGCATGGGGTCTGTAACTCATCAGAAGAAAATCAAGTTATTGATCTAGCTCCTAGGAGGGAGGAGCTGGGTACATTGACAGAGAGAATATTGAGGGCCAGGATCAGTAGCAAACTCCAGTCAAGGCTGAAAGAGGATGGGCCTGGTGGCCTTTGAAGGTAGTCATGGGGCCAGTCACATGGGGTCAGTAGGTGGTATGAGTCGGGGGCAGTGCAGAGAGAGCCCAGCTGACCATCCACCATCAACCATCTGCTCAAAAGGAATCCAGATAGAAGAAAGGATGGAGACAACAACTGGATGATGGCCAGGAGAGTGAGCTATGGTATCCAGGATCCAGCTGTCCCACCTGCCCGCCACGTTTTTGCCATGGAAACAGGGTTAGTCACCAAACTTGCCAAGTCTTCATGACTCATATGCCTATCGGAGCATATACATTTACTTTTTAATTCAACCGGTTGCATATGTAAGGGTGTATCCCCCCAAACTCGGAAAGAACTCCGCTGGGCAGAGCTTTCATAGTACGCATTTCCCCTCACTAGGTGAGTATCGAGCACCTTGCTCTGAGTTAGTGTACCAGTGGCATCACCTGGGAAGGTTCTCTCTGGTCACAGTGATTTTTTTTTATAAAAGCAGTTTTGCTCAAACCTTGATGGTTTGTGATGGCCAATTTAAAAGAACAGTATGTGGCTGTGAAATTTTGTTTCCTCCTTGGGAAAAATGCCAAGGTGTGATGTTGAACACACCTTTCAAGGACAGCACTATGGTAAAAACTCAAGCGTATGTATGTTTTTTTCATTTCAAAAAAGGTGAAATGTCGATTGATGACAAACCTTGTTCTGGACATTGTCAACTTCCAGAATGGACAAAAATATCCACGAAAATCATGTGCTTGTGCTCGAGACTGATGGTAGATCCTTAAAGAGATGGGGAAGTTATCTGGACTATCTTGGAGCTTGGTTCAGCAAATTTTAACAGAGGATTTTGGAATGAGAAGGGTTGCTGTGAAATTCGTGCTTTGCGTTCTGACTGACCAGGATAAAGAGCATGGAGTGGAAACATGCTGTGCTTTGAAAGAAGAGTTCCCAAGTGACCCAGACTTTCCCCCCAAGGTCATTACTGGTGATGAGACATGATACTATTCTTACAACCCCCAAAGCAAACATCAATCAAGCCAGTGGAAGATGCCATCATCACCTCGCCACCCCCCCCCAAAAAAACCAAACTCATCATACGAAATCAAAGATCAAGATGATGTTCATTTGTATTTGGATGTGAGAGGGATAGTGCATTTGGAGTCTGTTCCACCAAGTCAGACCGTTAACCAGGCTTTCTATCTAGAGGTTCTGAAAATATAGCGTAACAGTGAGTGACAAAAAGGGCCTGATCTGTGGCAGGCAGATTTGTGCCATCATGACAACGCACCTGTTCGTGCAGCCATCTCAGTGCACCAGTTTTTGGCAAACATCAGCATGCTTCTCTTGCCCCACCTACCTTACTCCCCTGACCTTGCTCCGAGTGACTTCTTTTTGTTTCTGCAAATGAAGAGGGACATGAAAGGACAGCAATTTGATGACATAGAAGAGGTGAAGAAAAAAACAAGGCAGGTACTGTCAGCCATCCAAAAAGATGAGTTTGAAAAATGTTTCTCAGAATGGAATAGCATATTTGACAAATGTATTAAGTGTAATGGAGAGTACTTTGAAGGTGATAAGGTTGTTTTGTAAAAAAAATTTAAATACATAGCTTTGGGGTAAAAAATTCTGGGTTTTTTTTTTTGAGGTGGGGGATACCCCCTTGTATACATGATGTCCTGGGCCTTGTTTTGTCCCATGTCTCTTAGAGTTAATTACATATTGATAAAAATTAGTCTTTTGTTTATGACAGAATTTGCTATTGCTTGGACACATTATCATGTTTTAAGTGGACTCCTGTTAGTGCACATTTAGGTTATTCCCAATCTTTTCCTTTAAATAATGCTGCAATTGTTATAATTTTCCATAGATTTTTGTACAACTGTGTGAGAATATCTATCGTGTTCATTTTAGTAACTGTTTACATAGGTTGCCAAACTAATTTGGCTTACTTTGTCCTTTTTAGGAAAAAACAAATTACTCAGTCTCCCCCAGTAAGTAAAAACTTTTTACTACAGCTCATAATCCAGGGTAAAGTGTAGGTATCTGCTTTAGCAGCACCTCCCCCCACCTCCAGATGGCTCCAGAGTCCCCCAGGGGATGGTATTGCCCCCTTTGGGAAACACTGCTTTAGAAGATGGGGTGAAGGCTGGTCGGTCCAGGCCCCTTGGAGGAACTTGACGTCATGCAGTGAGTTGAAAGGGGAAACGATATGACAGCAAGCACATCAGGGGGACAGTGACACCTGCAGCCCTTGGGACCCAAGCAGGAGTCTGTCTTCAGAGTGGGTTTATTCAGTAAGCAAGACAGTCATGCGCCTCGTGCATTGACAAAACAGGGCTACTAGTTGTTCACAGCCAAGACCCCTAGATGGCAACCTGGCAGGACACAGGGAACAGTGAGTGCCACCGTGGAAGGGAGCGGGCAGGTCACCGAGTGAAATGGATATCAGTCCCAGTGCATGCGAATGTGCTCACTGAAAAATGCATGCAAGGTCACAAGGGTGCCCACATTGTTTAAACTGTGGAGCACCCATCACTTCAATATCTACCTTGACATTACCCTCCTACAGTTCCTTCCTGTATCATTGAAACCCCTTCTCTTGGTGATTTCTTGGAAGTACACGATTTCTGTCAAAAAATGAACTCTAATAAGTCTTGGTACATTTGTTATGTATGCACGTGGATGCCCTGGGCATGGATGGTTTATGTTAATAAATAAAAGGCCACCCACCCATTCTGAGAGACCATTCTTGCACATCTGTGTCTGCAGATTCAGCAGTTCCAGCCAGCAGGGCCAGCAAAGCTCTTTCCATAAAGCAAACGCAACGACATGCTCTTGTACATGTCCTGGTAAGCAGCCAATAGGAGTTTCAGTCTTATATGACATGCAAAACTGAGGGATCTAAAATAATCCAATCACGTGCTCTAAGTTTTATAACCAATAATATTTGTCACTTCAACTTTAAAATAGTTTTGCTGTACCAGTAAATACAACCTAGCATGCATTTAATATAATACTCACAGAGGTAATGACTTTGCAAAAATATCAACATAGCAAACATTCAAAATTAACAATAGAAATATAAATATTTCTCTAACATGAAAAGTCGTGAGTTCTGGGTTTTATTATCTGTTCCATGGGATACAGTACTTGAGAGTACTGGATTATATTTACAAATAAAGAGTTATTGAACATTTATCACTTTCTCATTCACTCATTAAGTTTGTTTGTATAAAAGTAAATTACACAAATTACACACACATGCACACACACACACACAGCTGTTTTTGTTTTCAGTTGGAATTCTCATAGGTAGGAATTTCAGGGGGCTCATCATTCTGTTCTGGTGGTGTTCTTCCCTGTGAATCAGAAGATAAAAGAACAGAGTCAACAAAACCTGGAAGCCTGCAGTTCCTAGAACGTAGAAGGTGAGACCAGCTATGACTGGTTGGTCAATTCTATGGAAGTAAGGTCATGTGGACTGGTCTCGAGAATGTGTAATCAGTCAAGTTGGTGAAGCATCTGTTCATTGTAATCCTGCAGAGTGGACTGTGCAAAGGATAGATAAAATAGTTCAGTTCATCAAATCAAGGGGCAAAAGGAAGACAACCAGTCTCTGTCCTAGCTGGAGAAAGCAAACATTCACATAAAGATAATTCTGCTGTAAGTGCCAAAGTAATGGCACAGACCCTTAAACCTTCCTGTTCTGACTACTCCAGGATTTGCCTTGCCAGAGAGGGTTCATCTACAGATCAGATGAGACCTAGGATGATGCAGGGAAGAGGGGAGGTTAGGTGTCATTCATGGCTTGGCAAGAGCATTCATCTTTGATCTACAGAGTAGAGAGACACATGTTAGAAATTAGTAACTAAAGTAAATTTGAGAATTTTCTGATCAAGTGGGCAATCGTGACTTTAGGAGACCCCCAAATATAAAAATAAATAAATTCATCCTCCACAATAAATTTATTCTAAAACTTGACTGAAGGAATATCTAGATCTCTTTTTGCATATTGTGAAAGGGTGGTTTCAGGGGCCTCCATTTCCTGGGGGTGGTGTGGGAGCCATGGAAGAGTAGCCAGGCAAGCACAATTATAAACGCAGGGCAGGGACTGACTGATGTCCATTTTTGTCTGAGGGAGCAGTATTGATCCCAACCCAAAGGACTGGGAGAGCAGCTTTGGGCATACGGGAATAGTGTGGATTTGCCGTGAAGTCCATAGATGACTAGCCATTGGGCCATGCTCTAGAAGTCAAGATGTGCGTCAGGTGACTGCTCAGCTCAACTGCATACCTGAATAAGTGTGGACTACACAACTGCTTTCTAAATGATGTGTGCAGATCTCACGGTTTTTCAAACTTGGGAAATCCCTATGCATCACAGCAATGAGGAGTAGAAAGGCTTTATGATAAAAGAATTTGGGTTGGAGCTAAGCTATGGATAGAGTAATGCACCTTATTAAAACGTTCAGCCTTTGGCATCCAGATGTAAGCCAGGCATATGTATTTTTAAGCATCTCTGGTGACCATGAAATGTGCCAAAGGTGTGTAATGGGTAGAAGTTAAAGTCCTCAGCTCTGTGGATCTAGTACTGTCAGTTAAAATGCTGTGGGCAATAGTTCCTCATTTGTGGGATCTGTAAAAAATATTGTTCTCACCAGCTGGGGTTTTTGTATGGAGCAGTATACTGTGAGCGAATTGTCATTCTTCTGAGGAACTGGCCACTCTCCCTGTAAGAAAATAACCACAGACTAGCCAAAGGAGGTATTTTCAAAGTTTCACCTACAAACAACCCTTCTGGTTTTAACCCGGAAGATCAAAGCAGCCTTGGAACAGAGGGGACAGATCCTCTGGTTCCACACCACCTCCCTCTGCTATTAATCACAGCCCTAGGGAGCTAAGAGATGGCCACTCCCATCCCAAGGGACCTGAGGTTTGGTGAATATGGATAGAGGCACAATGTCCTGCCCATGCACCATGGTCCTGGTCACACCCCTGTCACATGCCTAGTTTGGTGGGACTAGTTTTCTAGGGTAGTGGATGGTCCTAGTGGGGGAGGAGTGAGAAAGAGGTGGTGACCCAAAGAACTCACCTGAAACTTGTGAAACACTTGTGAATACACTGTATTGTCGATTGCCTTGTTTGGAGTGATGAGATCATGCTGGGTCTGCCCCTCAAAGGCCCTCTCCTCCTGAGGGGCCAAGTGACGTAAATCCCTTCTGCTGACTTGCGTGCTGCCTGTGTCCTCTTCCTCCGCAGTCATTGAGGTGCTGTCAGTGCTGTTTGAAGCCTGCTTGGGCTGGGGTCGTCTGGCAGCTTTGGTAGGATGGCCTAGCGTTTCATACCTCTCAGAAATCATTGTGTATAGAGTCTGGCCAACTCTATGTTCTGGAACACATTATGCAGAATAGATTAAAAAAAAACCCAACAACACAAAAAACTATGTCAACTGCCATCTCTCTCTTGTTTTTCAACAAAGATCCAAATGTGCTCCGACCCCTGCAGATGGGCACAGGAAACTGGCAGGGAGGTTTTTCTCAACATTTTGGGGGTGGAATACGACGGTTTGTCTCTCCTTCTTTTGAAGCATCTATTTATTCACTCATCTGCTAAACACTGATTAGTTGATAAACAGTGATTAGGGTCTGTGATGGACCCAGCTAGTCTTAGGGAGAACTGGGTGCATGGGTCGCACCATGCCAAGCACCATGCCAGGTGTTCCTGGAAACACAAAGGTAAACTATGCGTGATCCTGCCATTTCAAATCAATTAATACAGATTGTATAAGTCATATAAAAGGTATGTGAACAATACAGAGGGGTGGGGAGAAATCATTTCTGGTTAGGAAAGCAGCAGATGACTGGTAAAGGTGGTGGTGTTTGAATTTGGCCTTGAAGAAAGGCGGGGTTCTCAAAAGCGAATGAGCATTCCTGGTGGACGGAGCAGTATGATCAAAGGCAGTTGTGGAACCTGTGCCACCCTCTTGGGAAAGGATGATATTAAAAATATTTAATAGCTTCCTTGCCTTGGGCATAGGATCATCAGCATGGGTGCCTGCTCTGCACAGCTAGGGTGGTACTTTGGGGTGGATGTAAACTCTGCCCTTGGAAGCACATTCAACAGCCTGTTTGACCTAAGTTTATGAGCATAATAACAATGGTTTACATTTATTAATACATAATACATGTGCCAGGAGGAGTCCTTGTGGTGCGAATGGCACTTGGCTGCTAACTGAAAGGTTGCCAGTTGAAATCCATCTTGCTGCTCTATGGGCAAAAGACCCAGTCACCAGGAAACTGAGGCTAAGAGTAAATCATCCAAGATCACACCACCCATGAGAAGAGAGCTGGCATTTGGATACGGGATTTCTGAGCCCAGCACCCATACACCTGACCACTAGACTGTATTGCCTTTTGATCGACAAAGGCCACAAGAGCCATTGATGTTTTTAGAACAGGTCAGAGCTGAGCTTTGGAAAGTGGTGAGGAAAAGGCAATGAAAGAAGTAACTCTGTGGAGGTGGGATGGCCCACTAGGAAATCATATCGTTTTTGGAAAGAAATATCAAGGAAAAGAAATATTTGCTAATAAGAACTGGTTATTACAAGGAACTATATGTGACCTCCTCCATGGTGGACAGACAACCGAAAAGTGGGTGAAGGGAGATGTCGGACAGGGCAAGATATGACAAAATACCAATTTATAAACTATCAAGGGCTCATGAGGGAGGGGAAAAATGAGGACCTAATGTCGGAGGTTTAAGTGGAGAGAAAATGTTTTGAGAATGATGTACAAATGCGCTTTACACAATTGATGTGTGTATGGATTGCGATAACAGTTGTATGAGCCCCTAATAAAATGTTTAAAAAAATAAAAAGAACTGGTTAAATAAGTTAAGGTGCATCTACAGAATGGAATAAATGAGAGCAGAATAAATCATCTACATATATTAGTGTTTCCAGTATGTACTGTTAAATTGAAAAATCAAAGTTCACAAAATTGGTATAAATTGGCTGTATATTATTAGGAGAATTAGAAGGAGTCCTACATAGGCATAAATGAGAGGTTAGATAAAATTTGTGGAAAAATGGAATTAAAAGATAATGAAAAATGTCCACACACTTTTTGAAGCCCCACTGTATATAGGACCTTTAAATGTATAAAAATCCCAAGAAGGATTTAGACATGCATACATTTCAATGGTGGTTGCAGGGAATGTGATCTGGAGTTTGGGATTTGAACGGAAGATTGGGATTGGGAAGAAGATCCACTCTTTATTGCATACCATGTGACTTCTCAGTAAAAAGCCCTATAATAAACAACACCACAAAAAGTGGTGGCAGCGTGAACTAAGGCAGTGGCAGTGGCTCTAGAGAAGAGGGGGCCTTAGAGAGATAGTGGAAAATTTAAGAAGCAAGCCTTGGGAGCTAAGGTGAGCTTTGGGGCACTGAGGAGGCACCGGAATAATGGTGGTCTCCTTAGCACTTCTCCACTCATCCTCATCCATCCAAGGCACCCAGAAAGGATGGCCCAGGATGGGAGGATAAGACTTCTGCCCTGCCAGCTGTGAGGAGGGTGCTGTGAGGAGGGACACTTCATAGTCTAGTCACATTCCCTGTCTCTTGACTACATTTTTTCTTTCTGAGGAAAGTGTTCCCTTGTGGGAATACTTGAATTCTCTTCCCTCCAACTCCAACTCCAACTCACCGCCATTGACTTGATTCCATCTACATTTTTTGATTCTGAGGAAAGTATTCCCTTGTGGGAATACTTGAGTTCTCTTCCCTCAAACTCCAACTCCAACTCACCGCCATTGACTTGATTCCATCTCATAGTGACCCTGTAGCCCCAGATTCCTGAGACGATGATGGTTCAAGGGAGTAGAAAGCAGTGTCTTTTTTCCTAGGAGTGGCTGATGGTTTCAAATTGCTGACCTCTTGGCTAGCAGCTCCTTGCCCAACATGTAACCCAGGGCATGACCAGGCCTCCCCCCCTCATCCCCTTTCAATTTCAGATCCTTGAGAGAACCCTTCTATGAGAGATGACATAGAGGCCTTTTGTTGTTTTGTTTAGCAAGGGGTGAACCAAGTGGGCGGAGTTTGGGGATTCCTTAGGACTTCAGCGCTCCAGAGTACCAGGTGGTAATTTAAGATGGTGGGATGGGGGTAGGAGAGTAAGGGCAGGCATCTCACATCTCTACCCCACCCTGCATCAGAACAATGCTAATTTTGCATGCATTATGTTATTTGAGTTCTGAATACTGTATTGATTATTTATTAAAATATAAAGATGGGAAACCAGTTTCAATGATACTCTGGAACTGAGTATACCATCTCACGGGCTTTAATTTTAATTAAATTCTAATTTTGCTCCTGTCACAGAGTCACTCTTTTACTTCATGCTTTCCCCCCATTCTCAGCATGTAGAGAATAACTCTGTTTTCATCACAGGCACATTCAAGTGATAAACATCACTGCCTGAAGAGATCTCAAAATTCCACCCAACACAACTGCTTCTACTAGCTCTGGCCACCATCTCTCAACCATCTATCCCGGTTGAGGTTTTTTTATTCCCAAACCACCTTCTATTAAATAGGCATACGAATCACTTGGGGATCTTGTTAAAATGCAGATTTTGGATCAGATTCTGAGATGGGGCCTATGATTCTGCATTTCCAACAAAGTCCTGGGTGATCCCCATGTTGGTGGTTGGCAGACCACACTTGGGTAGCAAGGCTTTGAGCATCATTGGTGATATTACCTGATGTGTCAGCTGGACCCTGAGCTTGGCTGGAACCTAAGATGAGTGCTGAACCTAAGAAATGAAGGCAGAGAAGGTTAACCAAGGGGGCTGTGATAAGAGAAGTTTCTTTGAGCATCAGAGAAGAAGCAAAGAGATGTTCAGGGAAATGAACAGAGAAGAGGCTTTAGGGGACTGATGAAGGCTAATGTGTGCATAAGCCCATGGGAAGAAGTGACTGAAGTCTTGAGCCACCTTCCACCAAGGAAAAGGCTTTGGAGCTTCCTTCCCTCTTTCTCAAAGGAGAGCGCTAATCCCTCTGTAGTAACCACTCATTCAAATCGTTTTCCTCCTCTTAGTGGTTCTTCCAGGACCCATGTGTGTTCCAACCATTGTGTGTGTGTGTGTGTGTGTGTGTGTTTGAACAACTCCATATCTACTCTACAAGTGAGATTCTAGAAAGCATTACCAATCATAACACTATATCCCCTTGTTCATCTGGCTGGCCCCCCAAACAGCCATGTAACCTGTCACAGTATCAATCAAAACAATTTTCTGATAATTTTCAAATCAAAGTTGGAGGGAAACATCCTTTCCCCCTTTATGGTGTTCAGCTAACAGTATGTGTGAGTCTGGAGCTATCATGACTTTGTGGTGCCCCATCCTTCACACTCGCCCCGCTGTTGGTTTTAATTAAAAAACCTAGCTAAGCCTTGTCATTGAGTCGCATTTGACTCAGTGATTCTATAGGACACAATAGAACTTCCCAGAGAGCTTCCAGTGCTGTAATCTTTATGGAAGAAGCCTGCTGCATATTTATCCATGGAGTAGCTGGTAGGTGCCAATCCTGGATCCTTAGGTTAGCAGCCAAGTGTTTAAGCAGTGCCCCATCAGTACTCCTTGTTGGCTCCAGTCAGAGAGTAAACTGGCTCAGAGAGAGAAGTGGAGACAGAGATGGGGAGCTCTGCTACATTTGAGTCCAGAAGGTATTTGTCCATTCTGCCATTCCCACAGGTTGATGATGTGACAAATAAATAGTAAGTTGTCCCTCCTGTAGACATCCTAGCTTGAATTAGATTTTGATTGGCTATGACTAAAGAGCCCCACCTATATCTCCTTTCCATCCAACCCATCATTCTAAGAAAAAGTGAGATCTTGGGAGACAAATGGTAGAAGCAGATTACTTAAATACAGATAATTCTCCAGAGGAAAGGAAGGTCCCAAAGAAATGTGCTGGAAGACATCATTGGTTTCAGAAAACTCACACTTTTTTTTTCGCTTCCAAATGCGCCAAATCCCAACACATACAAAGGCGAGAAGAATGATTGTGATAGGTATAATATAATGGTTCACGCTTTTTTCAGGCCCTTCAAAGAGGAAAAAAACGATATTAATTCAAATGATAACAAGTGAGGTTGGAATACATGATGGTCAGAACATAATGGCTATACTACTTTCCTCTTTTAAATCCCATGTTACTGCAGAAGATATTTCCATTCTACAAATACATATTGAACAGATATTGTTGTGGGCAAGAGGCTGCAGTAATAAATAAGTACCTGAGTTTTATGACTTGACCTGAGATTTATGACTTACTCCACACCACCGAGTGTAATTACTTGAGCCAGGATTTGAATGCAATCTCTCTTATTTTAAAGTCCACTATTGTGTCTCTTTTTGTAAATGGCAGTTGGGGAATTCCAGACTTGAGACAAAGAGTTTAGATGCTTATTGAGCCAGGACCTAGATCCATCTGCCAGATATAGCCAGACCCTGGGTAGACAGAACCCAGAGTTCCAATTCTGTTTTTGCTATGTGGCCTTGGTAAATCCCTTGGTCTCTCTGAGTATTAGTTTCTATACCTGTATATTTGGGAAGAGTAAGGATATCTTTGTCATAGTATGTTGTGAAGATTGACTCTGTTAAGATGCACAAGACTTCTGGGAAGATGGTGTATCAGGGGACCCGCATACTCAGAACTCTTTTGAACAAGGCGGGTTTGGTGTCCAGGCAGCTGAGTGGAAGGAGTCTGGTTAGTGAAATATCCCCCCCGCACAGCACCCCCACCCCCCACCCCCCGCATTTGTCCTGAGCTGGGGCCTCGGTGATCCAGGATCCGATTTGTGGGACATCTCGGTCAATGACAGATGTTATGAAGAGGTATAATATTCGAATAATCGGTCTACCAGAGCACAACACAACACACAAGTCGACAGCCAAGATATCAAAGGAATTTCTGGAAGAAAACTTTCCCACCCTAACAAGAGAGAACCAGGCACTCATACAGGAAGCAGAAAGGATGCCAGCTAGACTAGACTCCAAGAAGAACATGCCAAGGCATATAATAGTAAAAATATCCAACTTCGAGGGAAAAGAGAACATTTTATGAGCACCAAGAGAAAGGAAGACAGTCACATACAAAGGAGCGCAGGTAAGAGTATGCTCAGACCTATCAGCAGATACCATGAAAAGGAGGAGAGAATGGAGCAACATCTTCCAAAAGCTGAAAGGAAAAAAATGCCTCCCCCAGAATCGTGTAGGCTGCCAAGCGATCCATTAAGATAGATGGTGAGATAAGGGTCTTCCAGGACAAGGAAAGACTCAAATAATATGCTGCAAGACACCTGACCCTGCGGAAGATACTGGCTGACTCACAATGGCCAGAGGACCAACCTCCACCAAGAACAAACAGGAGACAACCATATAGCCCATCTGCATCTAGAAGTCAACATGCCAGCATCAATTATCAGGACAACAGGGTCTCAGATCGAAAAGAAGACAAGATAGAACTCTCCACTGAAACATAGCACACTAATATGAAGGGAGATAGGTAAACACCCAAAACACAAAACATGGTATGACAACTATGAATCCACAGATAGTGATAATAACTCTGAATACCAATGGACTCAATTTGTACATTAAAAGAAAATGCTTGAGGACTGGCTCAGAAAACATAATCCATCAATCTGCTGCCTGCAAGAGACACATCTTAAGCCCACAGACAAGAATATGCTAAGAATAAAAGGCTGTCAGAAAGTTTACCAAGCAAATGGTAACTCAAAAAAGGCAGGGGTGGCTATCTTAATCTCCGACAAAATGGACCTCAAGATCCAAACCATAAAAAGAGACAAAGAGGGACACTACATAATGCTCAAAGGTTCAGTAAACCAAGAAGCACCTAGAATATCGAATATTTATGCTCCTAATAATGGTGCGAATTTCATCAAACAAACTATTAAAAAGATGAAAAGAGAAATCACGGACTCAACAATCATAGTAGGTGACTTTAACACTCCACTATCAGAGAAAGACCGATCACTGGGAAAGAAGCTCAGCAAAGAGGCCATAGAGCTAAACAATGTAATTAGGCAACAGGGCCTGATAGACATTTATGGAGCTGTCCATTGAAATGGAAAAGAATTCACATTCTTCTCAAGTCCACATGGATCTTTTTTCAAGAATAGACCACATGCTGAGACACAAGTCCAGCCTGAGTAAATTCAAACACATACATATTATCCAGACATCTTTCTCAGATCACCATGCCATAAAGCTGGAGATTAATAAGAGGATGTCCAGAAAAGCAAGCACAACCAATTGGAGGATGAACAACGATCTCCTGCGACATGAATGGGTACAGGCCCAAATTAAAGAGGATATTACGAAGTTTCTAGAAACAAACAAGAACGAGAATATAACGTATCAAAACTTATGGGACACTGTGAAGGCAGTTACCAGATGTAGCTTGATATCATTAAATGCATATATGAAAAAAGAAGAGAGGCATATGACAGATACGTTAAAACAAAACTTCCAACAACTAGAAGAGTCAGCAGAACAATCCTTCCAATAGCAAGAGAAAAGAAGTAATAAAAATCGTGGCAGAGTTAAACCAGTGGGATGACAAGAGTGCAACGCAAAAGATAAATGCAGCTAAAAGCTGGTTCTACAAAAGACTTAACACAATTGACAGACCTTTGGCAAAGTTTACCAAGGATAGAAAGGAGCAAACATCAATAGCCAGAATGAGGGATGAAACAGGGGCAATAACAACAGATCCCAATGAGAATTAAAGGATAATCACAAAGTACTAATGAATTTAGAAACATGGAAGACATGGATAAATATTTGGAAAAACAGTCTTTCCCTAGATTATCTCATACAGAAATCAAGAACCACAAAAAACCCATAGCGAAAGAAGAAATAGAGAGGATAATCAAAATCTAACAACAAAAAAAGCCCCAGGGCCAGATGGCTTCACAGTAGAATTCTACCAAGCATTCAGGGAAGAGTTGACACCAATCCTCCACAAAGTATTCCATAACATAGAAGAGGATGGCAAACTCCCAAACTCATTCTACGAAGCCAGCATTACTTTGATATCCAAACAGGGCAAGGACTCCACAGGTATAGAGAATTACAGACCAATATCTCTAATGAACATAGATACAAAAATCCTTAACAAAATATTGGCCAATAGAATACAGAAGTATATAAAACATATCATCCACCACGACCAGGTAGGATTCATTCCAAGGATGCAGGGATGGTTTAACATCCAAAAACACATCAATATTATACACCACATCAAGAAGAAAAAAACCATATGATAATATCCATAGATGCTGAAAAAGCATTTGACAACATCCAACACCCATTCCTAATTAAGACACTCATGAAGATAGGATTGGAAGGTAAGTTCCTCAAGCTGATACAAGTTATCTATGAAAGGCCAACGGCTAACATCATAGTCAATGGAGAAAAGACAAAAACAATCCCACAGAAAAATGGTAGAGAGAAGGATGCCCCCTGTCCCCACTTCTACTCAATATCGATCTGGAGGTTCTGGCTAACAACAAAAGACAGCAGAAGGACATCAAAGGGATCCAAATGCGAGAGGAGAAGGTGAAACTATCGCTATTTGCAGACGACATGATCCTGTACATCGAAAACCCCAAAAGCTCCACAGCTGGAGTACTTACAGCTGGAAGAGTGGCAGGATACAAGATTAATAAACAGAAGTTGGTAGGTTTTCTATACACATCGGACAGGATCATGGAAGAGGGGATTAAGAAGGAAGTACCCTTCACAGTAGCTAAGAACAAACTGAAATACCTAGGAATATATTTAACAAAAAAAACTAAAGACCTATAGACCTATACAAGGAAAACTATAAGACCCTACTACAGGAAACCAAAAGCGACCTCCACAAATGGAAGAACATCCCCTGCTCGTGGATTGGAAGGCTTAACATGGTAAAGATGACAATCTTACCTAAAGCACTTTACAAGTTCAATGTCATACCAATTCAAATACCATCAACCTTCTTCAAAGAATTGGAAAAACTGATCACCAATTTCATATGGAGAGGGAAAAAAACCCAGAATTAGAAGAGAACTCCTCAAGAAGAAGGACACAGTTGGAGGACTCGCCTTACCCGATTTTAATGCCTATTGCACAGCTACAGTGGTCAAAACAGCGTGGTCCTGGCACAACGACAGACACTCAGGCCAGTGGAAAAGAATAGAAAGTCCAAGACTAAAACCATCAGCATATAGACAACTGATCTTCGACAAGGGTCCCCAAACCATCAAGTGGGAAGCGGATGCCCTTTTCAACAAGTGGTGCTGGAAACAATGGATATCCACATGTAGAAAGATGAAATAAGACGTTTACCTCACCCCATGCACAAGAATAAACTCAAAGTGGATCACAGACCTAGGAGTTAAACCCCAAACCATCAGGACCATCAAGGAGGGAATTGGGACTAACCTCAGAGCACTGGCCCAGGGAACTCATAGGCTCACTGCAATAGGGAAGGGTATACACACAGGTGAACTGGAAATCGACAAGTGGGTTTAATAAGAATAAAGCACCTGTGCACCTTGAAAGACATCACCAAGAGTGTGACAAGACAACCCACAGGCTGGGAGAGGCTTTTTAGTAATGACACATCAGACAAAGGGCTCATTACTAAAATCGACAACACCATCATGACCTGCAAAAAGAGGAAAACAGTTAACCTCCTAAGGAAATGGGCAAAAGAACTGAAAAGAGCTTTTACTAGGGAGGAGACCCATATGGCCAATAAGCATATGAGAAAGTGTTCCAGGTCATTAGCCATAAGAGAAATGCAAATCAAAACAACCATGAGATACCACCTAACACACCTGAGACTAGCCCAAATCAGCAAATCAGAGAGCAACAAGTGTTGGAGGGGCTGTGGTGAAGTAGGAACCCTCCTCCACTGCTGGTGGTAATGTAGATTTGTACAGCCACTGTGGAAACCAATCTGGAGAAAATGGAATTGATCTACCTTATGACCCAGTCATCCCTCTACTGGGCATATACCCAGTGGAAGCAACAAATAAAACACAACCAGTCATCTGCGCTCCAATGTTTATTGCGGCACAATTCACAATCGCAAAGACTTGGAAACAGCCTGTTTCCATCAATAGATGAGTGGATTAGTAAGCTCTAGCACATACACACAATGGAGTACTACACAGCACTGAAAACCACGGACGATCACATGAAATATATCGTTTCGTGGGAAGAGCTGGAAGGAATCATGTTAAGCAAGATAAGCCAAACTCAAAAGGACAGGTATAACATGAGTCCCCTGAGGTAAGTACAATCAGCATGGCAGGAACAGAAGAATAGACACCTATCTCGCAATGAACGGGTGGAAGCATAGATAGTTGGGGGGAGGGCAGACCACACCCAGGGAGGTACATGAGAGTCCAACATAAAGAAGGGGAAGGGGGTCAGGTGGAGGGAGAAGCGGGGCGGGGAGAAACTGAGTTGATGGCACGGTGGGGGGGGGGAGGGGAACGGGACAGGGCACTAACTCACCCAGGGGGAGAGTATTGGTTGTGTCCCCACGGAACTGGAATGTGCATACAGACTCCACCATGACACGCCAAACCAGGAGGGCAATGTAACGTGTGGAGGAATCTTCAAAAAGACTGGACCATACGCCGGTCCTAACCAGAATCAGCCCGACCCCCACCATGGAAGGAAGTACCACAGAAAATGAAAATAGATCGTCTGGTGTGGGAAAGGAACTGACCTACCACACCACACCCAGAAGGAAGCTGAAGCAAAGGAAGGAGGAGGAATGGAGCAGAGCACATCTGGGCCCACCAAGCTCAGAGTACGATAGCCCGGCTTGGAGGGCCCATTGTAGAGAGGACCATATAGCCGGCCCCACTGCGAGATGCGACATCCTGCACTGACCCATGGCCCTACACGGGGCAGCACCGGAGGCACAGTGTGGGTTGTGTGACTGAGCTGACCCCACCACACTGAGGCAAAACACTGGGGGCGTGCAATAGAGAGGCAGGGGAAGCAGAGTAAGGAGGTCCTGAGGGAGTATCAAGGATGGACTTTGAGGCCAGGATGTGGCACCCCATCAGACTCATCTGGAAAACACTCCTAAAGGTCAACAAACAGACCTTGAACTATTAACAGGCTCCCCCCCACCCTTTCTTCTGTTTTGTTTTGCTTTTCTTTTTTCTCTTCTTTTAAATTTTGTATATCAGTGGCTTGTTTGTTAGCTTGTCGGTGTTGCTGCTGTCATCGTCATGTTCTTATGTGCCACTTTGTTTGGTGCTGTCAAAGCCATCCGCAATTTTATGCACATATTATTATCTCTGCAGGTCCACCTGGATAAGATAGGCTGGACAAACAGCGTGAGAAGAAAATAACGGGACCAACGCTCCTGGAGGGACATGAGAGTGTGGGAGGTAGGGGAAGGGAGGAGGTGTTGGCCAACCCAGGGACAAGGGAATGAGTGGTTCAAAACCAGTGGCAGGGAGGGGATAAGAGAACTGGTAGGGAGTGACCAAGGGTAAGGTAACTGAGAGGAATTACTGAAACCAGAATGAAGGCTGACCATGGTAGTGGGACAGGAGGAAAGCATAAGGAAATAGAGGAAAGGAGTAGGAGGCAAAGGGCATATATAGAAGCCTAAATACAGACATGTACATATGTAAATATATTTATGATTATGGGGGAAATAGACCCATGTGCATATATTTATAGGTTTATTAGTAGGGTAGCAGGTGGACATTGGGCCTCCTTGCGTGCATTCCCTCAATATAAGAGCACCTTGCTCAGCTAAACGGTCATTCCATGACACCCACCTTCTTGACATGACCGCTGAAGACAAACATGTGCATAAGCAAACGTGGTGAAGAAAGCTGATGGTGCCGGGTATCTAAAGATATAGCGTCTGGGGTCTTAAAGGCTTGAAGGCAAACAAGCGGCCATATAACTTGGAAGCAACAAAGCCCACAGAGAAGAAGCACACAAGCCTGTGCGATCATGAGGTGTTGAAGGGATCAGGTAGCAGACACCAAAGAGCAAAAACCATCATTGTGTGATCACCTTCCCCACATAAACGCTGAAGATGAATGTGTGCATAAGTAAGTGTGGTGAAGAAGGCTGATGGTGCCCGGCTATCGAGAAATATAGTGTCTGGGGTCTTAAAGGCTTGAAAGTAACCAAGCGGCCATCTAGCCCAGAAGTAACAAAGCCCACATGGAAGCAGCACACCAATATGTGTGATCATGAAGGACCGAGGGGACCAGGTTTCAAGCACCAAAGGCGGCAAGGGTGGGGGGGATCATACCATCGTGAATGAGGGGAGCGCGTGATGGGGACCCAATGCCCATCTGTAGACAACTGTTCATCCCTTGCAGAGGGGTAGTGGGGAAGAGATGAGTTACTCAGGATTCAGTGTACCAATAATGAAACTCACAACCTTCCTCTAGTTCTTAAACGCTTCCTCCCCTCAACTATCATGATCCCAATTCTACTTTGCAAACCTGGTTAGACCTGAGGATGCACAGCGATACAGATGGGAACTGGAAACACAGGGAATCCAAGACAGAGGAACCCCTCAGGACCAGTGGTGAGAGTGGTGATACCGGGAGGGAAGTGGGGGCAGAAAGGGGGAACCGATCACAAGGATCTACATACAACCTCCTCCCTGGGGGGTGGGCAACAGAAAAGTGGGTGAAGGGTGGTGCCGGGCAGAGTAAGAAAAGATAAAATAATAATTTATAAATTGTCAAGGGTTCATGAGGGAGTGGAGAGCGGGGAGGGAGGAGGAGGGGAAAAAGGAAAATGAGGAGCTGATTCCAGGAACCCAAGTGGAAAGCGAATTTTGAGAATGATGAGGGCAATGAATGTATAGTGTGCTTTACACAATTGATGTATGTGTGGACTGTGATAAGAGTTGCATGAGCCCCAATAAAATGATTTTTTTAAAAAGATGCACAAAAACCTAGAATAGTGTTTGGCATTTGTGGTAGTTGCATAATTTCATGTCAACTTGGTAAATACGTGTAGGGGTGGTCTAGCCTGTCAATCAAGTCACAGCCTGATGATGCCTCCTTGTGGGTGTGGCCTTCTCATGAGGATTCTGGGAGCTTTCTCTCTTTCTCCCTGGAGGTGGGCCACACACTCTCTCTGCCTTCTTCTTCCTCTTGACAGGTCATGTGGAGACTTGCTGAGACCTGTGAGAGCCTTTCTCTCTACTTCACCTTCCCTGTTGATGAGCTACTCTGAGCCATGCTGATGGCAGCCAGAACCCTGGAGATGCATCCACTTCCATTGGCTCTACAAGACTTTGCACCCGCCGGCCTTTGATCTTCCTGCATTCTGCATCATTGCATGTGCTGTGTGAGTCCAAAGAGGGATTTATGGACTAATATCAGACTTATGGGCTAATATTGGACTTACGGACTTGATCTGGACTGGGCTGGGATGTTACATTAATATATAATTGCTCTTTGATAGAAAGTGGTTTCTTATATGGGTGTCCGTGGATTTGTTTCCCAGCCTAACACAGCACTGGCAAGAGCTCCTCACTCACTCACTCATTGTGAAGGAGTCCATTTTGACCCATCCTAATCCTATAGGGCAGAGGGGATTTGTCCCTGTGGGTTTCTGAGGCTGTAAATATTTAAGGGAGCAGGAAACTTCATCTTTTTTCCTTTGGAGCAACTGGTGTGTTAGAACTGCTAACCTTACAGTTAGCGACCCAATGTATAATCCACGATGCTACTAGGGCTCCTTGCATAGCCTTGTTCTTTAGTTATCTGTATCTCTTTCCATATCAATTTTCTAGAAACATTTGTCCAACTATACCTCCTTTCCATCCAACCCATCACTCTAAGAAAAAGAGATCTTGGGAAACAAATGGTAAAGCTTCTTATACGATAGCCACGAGCCTTATTCAAGTCCTTGAAATGTGGCTAGTGGAACACATTTTAATTTCAATTAATTAACTTTTAAAACAAATAAATAGTTATTGAAAATTATTCAGGATGTTGAGGCAACTGTATATTTTATAAAGTTTAAATACAGATCAAGCATGACTGTTTAGCATCGGAATTGTGATATGCTGTAAAATACATACTGGGTTTTAAAGACTTACTCCAAGGTAAAATTTAACTATTTAATCAGTAATTTTAAAATATAAGATAAAAGAATATAACATTGATGTAGAGGATGATATTTTGGATATTTTAAATTAAATAAGATAAATATGAACTTTATGTTTCTTTTTATAATATGATTATTAATAAATTTAGAATTATGTAAGTGGCTCCCATTATACTTTTGTTGGCATGTGCTGTTCTCTTGTCCACATTCCCTTGCTGTAGCTTCATAAATACTTGGAATGCATACTCTTTGGGGGCTGCAGCTCTAAATCCTGGTAGAGTAGTGATGAAGAGAAAAACCTGGACAGATATTCCCAGAAAGAAACTGCCAGGAACTGTTGCTGACGGGGTTTGTGGCTGTGCATGTGAAGTTGGAGTAATCCTCACTGCTTCTCTAGGAGATATTGAGCAGTGACCCATCTGGGGACACAACAGCTCCCGTCTGCAGGGAGGTCCATTTGTACATCACATCATCTCCACTGTCTTCCATGGGGCAGGTTAGGGTAACCTGGCAGATGCCATCCTCAGGGGATCTAGTGTTCTAGGTGATATTTGGCTTCCTCAGCCTCCCTGTGTGAGGAGAAAGGCAAGTCCAGTGTGCCATCAGACCCGCCCCATGAACCCCTATGTTTTTATTTGTTCAAAATATCTTTGCTAGAGTTATATGCTGACCCAGTGTTAGGGCTGGGAAAGTGCCACCAAGTGTCACAGGCATTTTGGAGGGTGCCTGCCCTTTCCCTTGTCAACTCTGAAGTCTCAATCATGTCACCTCGCCTCTCTGGGCTACTGAAGTTCATGTGTGAACTAAAGGAGTCATGGAAAGGCGAAAGTTGATGTATGGTATTTCCACAGCTGTAAAAAATTATGAAAACCATTCAACAACAACACAAAAGCACAGCCCTTCTATGTGCTCTGAAACCTCTTAAAAGACAACCTGGAATTGGGCTGCTAACCACAAAGGCAGTTGTTCAAAACCACCAGCCACTTTTTAGGGGAAAGATGAGGTTTTCTTATTTTGTAAAAATGTACCATCATGGAAACCCATGGGGGTGTCCTATAGGGTTTCAGTGAGCAGAATCCACTTGATTGCAGTCAGTTTGGAATTTCTGAGTTTTGGATGATCTCATGTCTTTATTTATGTAAACTAATCAGGTAGATGGGTGAACACAGTGCCTGTGATATATAGTAGGTACTTCATAAGTATTTATGCTATGGATTAAATTGTGATTTCCTCCTCCCTCTTAATTTATGTTGAACCCTTGTACCTGTGATTGTGACTGTGATGGTTAGATATTATGCCAACGTCATGTCTTTGAATCAAGGTAGGTATAAATCAGATCACAGCCTCATGATACCTGCTTGGGTGTGTGGTCTTTTTATAAGAGAGGCACTGAGAACTTTCTCTCTTGAGCATCTTCATCTTTCTGCTTGCTTGGATACCCCATCTGGCTTCTGGGGTGGCTGATGTGGCCTCCTGCCGTCCCTGGGGGGCCAGCGCCTTACCTAGTCTTGAGGACCATGGATGCATGAGACTCTGCACCCAGTGGCATGTGATCTCCCAGCCCCCCACTTCATCCTCCTGTTTCATCCGCCAGCAACTATAAGTCTGAATGGGGCTCCTGCTAGCATTGGACTGGTGGACTTTAGTTAGAGTGGTCTGAGTCACCTTCATGATATCAAATTCTTTCTTCCTGTAAACTTCTTTCTTATACATATTTGAGTGTCCCTGGCTTTGTTTCTCTAGAAAACTCAGCCTAACACAGAGACTTTGTATTGAATAGAATCACTGAAGCCAGAGGATGCCCTAGTCCAATATGAGTGGTGCCCAACAGCAGAGGAGAAGAGACAGAGAAGTAGACCGAAGAAAGTCAAACGAAGATGCATCTGTGCGCCAAGGAACACGGGGGATGCCAGACACAGAGATCTAAGAAAGGAACTCCCCCTGGGCCTTCCAGAGAGAACAGCTCTGCTGACAATGGGAGTCTGGACTCAACCCCCGGCGTGGCAGCACATTCCTGTTGTGTAAAGCCACACACTCTGCGGTCTTTTGTTTCAGCATCCCTAGGAAACGAATATAGTCAACAACTTTAAAAGCAATAATGTGGTAGGCTATTTGTTCTTGCCCTATGCTGTCAGCTAGGCTCATCTCTTTGCCGGTTCCTTCACAGTTGAGTCAGCATGCACTGGGTGCAGACTGAGCTCATTGTTGTTAACCGTCATTGAGCTGGCTTCTGGCTCAGGGCAAACCCATGGACAACAGAGTGAGCTGCTGCCTGGTTCTGGCCTTTGATAGCTTGTGGATGGATCCTTGCATCCACAGGATTTCCTTTGTCAGAATATTGGAAAGATATTGCCCAGCCTTTCTGACTAGTCTACGTTTGCTTGGAAGCGCCAATGAAACCATTTTAGCATCACAGCAACATGCAAGCCTTTACTGACAGACGGGTAGCGGCTGTAATTGAGGTGCATTGCTGGGAATGGAACCCAGACGCCCTGCATGAGAGGAAAGAATTCTACTAAGTCACCATATTCCCTGTTCCTGGGACTTGCTGCATATTTTAATAGAACCATGGTGAGTGACTCTTCACATATACCTCACTCACTGCCGTTGAGTCAATTCTGATTCAAAGCAACTCTGTAGGATGGTGTAGAATTGCCCTTGTGGGTTTCTGAGCTGAAATTCTTTTTAAAAAAATCATTTTATTGGGGCTCATACAACTCTTATCACAATCCATACACACATCAATTGTGTAGAGCACACTTATACATTCGTTGCCCTCATCATTCTCAAAATTTGCTTTCCGCTTGGGTTCTTGGAATCAACTCCTCATTTCCCTTTCCCCTCCCCCTCCCTGCCCGCTCCCCTCTCCCTCAATAATTTATAATTATTTATAAATATTTTATAAATTATTATTTATAATTATAAATAATTTTAATTTGTAAATTATTATTTATCTTATCTTACACTGCCCGGTGTCTCCCTTCACCCAGTTTTCTGTTTGAGCTGAAATTCTTAATGAAAGTAAAAAGAATCCTCTCTCATGAGGCTCTGCTGGTGGTTTCGAATCACTGGCTTTATGGTTAACAGCCCAACGTGTCTCCCACCACACCACCCAGGCTCTCTGGTCACATATAACTGGACACCCACAAATTCATGTTGTGGGTCATGTTGGCCATGGGACAGATGAAGGGGTAACCAAACCTAAACCATCTACACCATCCAACTAAGCTCCCTGAAGCCCAGGGATGAGGGAGAAGGCTGCACATCTTTCTCTCATGATGAAGCGAGTGGCCACACTCTCAGAGGCCACTGAGCCACCTGAATACTGACAGGGGCTTTCTCTTCAAACATCTATTTCCAATACAGCCGGCTCTAACCCTTATCAAAAATGCCAATGTTCTATACAAAGGCAGCTTGGAGAGTTTCTGATCCCACCTGATAACCAATTCCGAAAGCAGGCACAAGTTCCTGGGAGTGGGTGGTGGGGGCCTTCCTAGAGGGTTATAGGAAGCAGAGTCTTGGCAGGTAGGGTTTTCCAGGCCCTGGCTATAATGTTCCTCCTGTGAATGGACAGGTGTGAATTGCATAGCACCCTTAGTGATCTGAGGCATTTCGGTACAAGGAGAGGGACGGGAAAGGTGGGAAGCAGGGACGGCAGCAAAGAGGGGAAATCTTGAGGGAAGGAATCTAATGATAAACGGGCTGTCCAGACTCACAGTGGATGCGCAGGGCGAAGTGCTTCGTGGAGGTGACCTCTGAGCACACGTAGGCACTGTAGGGGCCAGCGTCCTCCATCTTCAGCTCACGGATCTTCAGGGAGTAGTCCTGGCTGGAGACCAGCACTCTGTCCTTCTCCGTTTCCTTGGACTCAGTAAGTGAGCCTTCTGCTGTTACCTCCCCTGACGCTTTGCTGAGAATTGATGTGTTAAACCTCCAGACAACTTTCTTTATGCTATGATTGGCTGGGACTTTCAGGGGCAGGGTGACAGGCTCCCCCAGGATCCCCAGCACTGTCTCCCTCATTGCTTCTCCTCCGAAAGCTCCTGGACCTGCTGTCGGAGACGAGATAGTGCAGCTCAGTCACGATCTCCCACCTCCCTTGCCCTTCAGTCAGCCTGCCCAAGTCAACACCCTTCCCCCACAGCCTCTGATGAGGCTTCCTTCTGCTTTCCCATGATCACCTGTTCTTCCTGCTACTGTCCCCTGCAGACCAGGCCTCTCCTGCCCTGTCTGTGTGCCTTGTTATACACTAAGGGAAAACCTGTCCCCCAACTCCCCCCTAAAACTCAATCTAGTCTCCCTTCCCCGCCCTTGCTCTGCCTTTGGAGTTTTCGGAATATGCAGGGAGTTCCCAAGTCCCTTGCCAACCTCCCTCAGACCTCTGAGGGGACAGCAAAAGGGTTCTTCAAGTCTGTTCTCTTGCTTTCCATCTATGTATGTGTCCTGCCAGCACCTACAATAAATCAAACTGTTTCTGGAATCCCCTGGAGTCCTGAGTGGCGTCAGGTACCTGTGCATAACTCCTGGACACTGACAGGGCGGGAGCTGTTCCGGCTGACAGGGTTGGTGGCGCTGCAGGTGTACACCAGATCCGGGTCACAGAGCATCCAGGAGAGGGTGAGAGTGGAGCCCTCGTGGGACTCGGAAGCATGGGATTCTGCTTGGGTCCATCTGAACCAAACGCTTGTCTCCGCTCTCTCCATGAAGCACGTCAGGGTGATGTTACAGGAGCCACTGTCATTCATGGCGGCAGTAACTGTGACTTGGGGTTTCTGCAGCTGCCCTGCGGGCACACAGCCAAAGGAAGACTAGTCAGACCCTTCCTGGCGGGTGAGCCCTGGAACAAGATGGTGAGGGTGGGGGACCGAGCAGCAGGGCTGTCAGGCTTTCCTGTTCCAGCAGCGTTTTCTCTCAGCTTCCCACTGGAGGTTGGGGTGAGAACCTGTCTTCCTGCTTCTAAGTGCCCTGCACATGGCTCACCTTGATTTATAGCCTAAATACTTCTCTTTCCCCCTCCAGTATGTGAATAGCTTCAGGAGTGGTTCAAAGCCTGTGGTCAGAACCTGACACCTGCCTTGGCTTATGAAAGGTATTTGCAGATGTTTGGTAAGTAAGTGGATGAGCGACCTGCCCAAACACCAGGGAAGGGGTAGCTCTGCCTCCCCAAGTTGAGTTGCCCTGTGTTTGGCTATGAAGATGGCACCCAGAGGTCTTCTAGAGCTACTTCCTAGTTCTTTCCTTCCCTTTGTTCTATCCCATCTCCGGTGTGTGAGTTTGATTAAATGCTATTTTTTTTGACTAGGTAATGTAAGCACACAGTTGAAAGAAATTTAAAAAGATACATTATGAAAAAAGTAAGTTTATTTTACCCTGTTTCCCCCACCCAACTATTTCCTCTCTGCAGAATCAATCGTTGTTATGAACTTCTTGTTGATTCTAGCTAAGATGATCTAGCTATAGATAAACACATGATAGCATATCATAAGTACTATTCTGAGCTTTTAAAAAACCAACAATATATCTTGAATATATTTAATGTAATTAAATATGAGGGAAGCAAAAACATTACTCTAGGGCAGCAGTTCTCAACTCATGGGTCGCAACCTTTTTTGGGGTCAAACAACCCTTTCACAGGGGTCGCCTGATACATAACAGTAGCAAAATTACACTTATGAAGTAGCAACGAAAATAATGTTATAGTTGGGGGTCACCACAAATGAGGAGCTGTATTAAAGGGTCACGGCATTAGGGCAGTTGAGAACCACTGGCCTAGGGCACAGGTTCCCAAACTTGTTTGGTCTACTTTCCTCTTTTCAGAAAAAAAAATCACTCAGCATCCTTCTGGCAATAAAAACATTTGCACTGTAGCCCACCTTCCAGGATGGAGTGAAACCATCTGCTTTTGCATGAGCCCTCCCCCCCATGACCCCTCCACCCCTACTCCCCCAGACCATTCCAGAGCCCTGCTAGGTGGCAGTATCATTCACTTTGGGAAACACTCTTCTAGAATCCAGTTCACACAGGCTGGGTGGATGGGGCGGGGTTCTTCCATAGGGAACGCATTGGATCACATGTGTCCGTCATCAGTGGCGGCTGCAGGCAAGTTCTATCATCTCAGTAATACACTCGCCTTAGACTTGTTAGAGTGCTTCCCGCCCCCCTCTCCTCCACCCCCAAAGGAGACTTTTTCATGACATGATAAAAAACAATTTTGAAGTCAAGGCTAATGTCAAATTTTTAACAAAGCTCAAGTGGACAGCTTCTCAAATCCTTGAAGCAGGAGGCAAGTTTACGGATTCTGCCTTCCATAAGACAACCGTTTTCAGAGGGATCAATGGTTTTAAGGAAGATTGGGAAGACATCAAAGATGAATTCAGGGCACACAGGTCAACTCAGAAAGTTATGGTAACTGGTTTTGGGGGTTTTTTGGTTCAATTTTATTCTGAAAGGGTGCTGTTGTTGTTGTTAGGTTCTGTTGGGTCAGCTCCCTTCCCGACCTTATGCACCAAAGAACGAAGCCTTGTAGGAAATAGAGGAAAGAGCTAGGAGGCAGAGGGCATTTATAGATGTCTAAATAAAAGCATGCACATATGTAAATATATTTATATATGAGGATGTGGAAATAGCTCTATGTGCATATATTTATAGGTTTAGTATTAAGGTAGCAGATGGACATTGGGCCTCCACTCAAGTACTCCCTCAATGCAAGAATTCTTTCTTCTATTAAATTGACAATCTATGATGCTCACCTTCCCGACACGATTGCTGAAGACAAATGTGTCCATAAGCAAATGTGGTGAAGAAAACTGATGGTACCCGGCTATCAAAAGATATAGCATCTGGGGTCTTTAAGGCTTGAAGGTAAACAAACAGCCCTCTAGCTCAGAAGCAACAAAGCCCATCACATGGAAGAAGCACACCAGACTGTGTGATCACGAGGTGCTGAAGGGATCAGGCATCAAAGAACAAAAAATCATATCATTGTGTGCTCACTCCCTGATACAATCACAGAAGACAATTGGGTGCATAAGCAAATGTGGCGAAGAAAGCTGATGGTGCCCAGCTATCAAAAGATATAGCGTCTGGGGTCTTAAAGGCTTGAAGGTAAACAAGTGGCCATCTGGCTCAGAAGCAACAAAAAAAAAAGCCCACATGGAAGAAGCACACCAGCCTGCATAATCACGAGGTGTCAAAGGGATCAGGTATGAGGCATCATCAGAACAAAAAACCATTTCATTGTGAATGAGGGGGGCAATGCGGAGTGGAATTCCAAAGCCCATTTGTAGGCCACTGGACAGCCCCTTACAGAATGGTGTTGGGGAGGAGACAAGCCAGTCAGAGTGCGATGTAGCACTGATGAAACATACAACTTTCCTTTAGTTCCTAAATGTTTCCTCCCTGCCCTATCACGATCCCAATTCTGCCTTACAAATCTGGCTAGACCAGAGGATTTACACTGGTACAGATAGGAACTGGAAACACAGGGAATCCAGGGCGGATGATCCCTTCAAGACCAGTGATGAGAGTGGTGACACTGGGAGGGTAGAGGGTGTGTTGGAAAGGGGGTACCGGTTACAAGGGTCTACATGTGACCTCCTCCCTGGGGGACTGACAACAGAAAAGTGGGTGAAGGGAGATGTCGGACAGTGTAAGATATGACAAAATAATAATTTGTAAATTATTAAGGGTTTGTGAGAGAAGGGGGAGCGGGATGGGAGGGGAAAAATGAGAGAAAACAAATGAATGAAGCTCTGCACGGTCCTGCGCCATCCTCACGATTGTTTGATTGTTCGTAGGCCTGAGTCCATTTATTAAAAGGTAGTCTTAATAAAAATCTCTCGAAGGACACAGGACAGTCACGGGGGACTTATTATGGAGAAACTTTAGAAAATTGAAAACCGCATTGTTGAGTAAAGGGCCAGGAATGTCAGGCTGGGTCAGTCTTTCCATCACAGCAATGTGCCTGCTTATTCTTCCAGGATAGCGAGGGTTGTCCTATAGGAATTTCATTGGGAACCTCACCCCCTCCATGCCTCAGCGCTGGTCTTGGCCTGAAGATTTCTTTTTGTTCCCCAAACTCAAAGAACATTTAAAAGAACACAATTTGGGTTGCTCAAGGATGCCCCATCTGCCATTTGGACATGGTGTAAATTGTAGAGCATATGATTCTTTGAGGGAGGGATTAGCGAGATGGAAATGCCACCTCTGGAAATGTATAGAGCTGCTTGCCTTCCAAAGACAGGAGACTTTGGGGGTTCCTAAAGGAGGGAGGGCAAGGGTGAGAAGGTGAAGGAACCAAATAGAAGGTTGACAGGTATGACAGGTTAAAGGGAGGATAGCGATCCATAAGAGGGAGAAGGGAAATCAGGGGTGGGGGTGGGGGGTGGGATAGCATATGGGATGGGGGTGTTGATGAGGGGGTTGAAAGGTGGCATACAGAATTGATTATCTGAAATGTAACCTCCACACCTACTTCACAATATTCATTCATTCAAAAAAGAAATGTATAAACTTAGATAAACGATTATGTGAAAAAATACCTTCACATTTTAATCTATTTGTTTAATAAAGATCTCTATGATTTTATAGAAATAGTTGTTGGCTATCAGTTGCACAAAATTCCACTTCTTTAACACATACATAAGTTCCCTGCTATCAAGTCAGTATGACTCCTAGTGACCCTATAGGACAGGGTAGAAATGCCCTTTTGAGATTCAGAGACTGTAACTGTTTGTGGGCATAGTAAGCCTTGTCTTTCGCCTGAGGAGCCACTGGGTGGTTTTGAACTGCTGATCTTGCGGATCACAGCTCAACACATAACCTCTATGCCAACAGGGCTTCAATACAAAAATAGTACTCAAAAACTAATATAAAAGATCAAACTGCCTGGTAGAGAGATGGGTAAATGGTGTAATGTCATAAAAAGAGAAGACAAATGTCTCTGGGGCACATGGGAAATGCTCATCTAATTTCTAATGGAAAAAAAAACATGGTTTAAACTACAAAATACCATTTTAATGAATCACTTCAGCAAACTGCTTGATAATATATGCAATCAGGAATGCACTCTCTAATATTGCTGTGGGAAAGTTACTTGATTTATCCTTCAGAATCTATCCATTCACATATGCCAGCGACAGATGCATTACCGTATCCACTGCAGCATTATTTGAGAGAAGAACCTGGAAACAATCTATCTGTAAGGGACCAGCTATATGACATATGGAAATTATATAATATGTAAACATTTTTATGGATGCGTTTTCTACTTTTGATGTCTCTCTATATGGAATAGGGCAAAAAAGACCAAAGGGGTAGTCTGATTTATCCTAGAGAGATAAATTAAAAAATAAAAATCAGTTTTAACAAATGAAGATGGAAACTTTTCACACACACACACACACACACACACACACTCGCTGGAACTCACCATAGATGTGCAGGGTGAATCTCTCTTTAGTGGTGATGCTAGAATTAACTTTGTTTATCTGGGCATTGTAGGATCCTTCATCCTTCGGTATCAGGTTGCTGATGCTCAGAGAGAAGCTCTGACTGGAGATGTTTACTCGTCTCTGGTAGCTTTTGTCCAAAAAGATAGCTGGTCCTCCAGGTTGCACGATAACAATTGCCTTTTGGAGGTGAATCCATGTGACATGCTCAATCTCTGTGTCCATTGAGATGTTCAGGGGGAGAGTCACTGACTTCCCAAAAGTCCCCACTACCTTTGTTGAAACAGCATCTTCACCAGAGGCTCTCAGTCCTGCAGAGACAGAAGAGGTATATGGAGAAGCCGCTGGAGTCCTCAAGCTGGCATTCATTCATTCATTCATTCACTCAGTGAGCATGTGTTGAGCAGAAATGCCAGGCACTGAGGATCTAGAAGTTTGAGATGGGATTCTTGCTGCTTTCCTCCCTCCCCCAAGAAGAATTTTCTTTATTATTATGTTTAATCATTTTATTGGGGGTGTTTACAGTTCTTACAACATTCCATACATCACCTGTATCAACTATGTTAGACTTAGGACACTGCTTGCAGCTAATGGTAAATGATTGTCAAGTTACCTCCCTGAAGGCAGTCAGTTGCCAGACTACTGTCTGGTCCCACCACAAGTAGGGCTAACTCCCTACTGTTAAGGACAATGGGCTACTTCTCCCTAAATGCTTGCCGCCATCAGTCTGGTCCCTGTGGGTGGGTTTACACCCTACTGATAATGGTTTCCATGGAAAGCCAGAGAACAGGTCAAACCTCTCAGTGACATCCAAAGTTAGGCTGCCATCCTGAATCTAGGATCCGCCCTTCTTGTCACATGTGTGCCCCCAATCCCTCCCCTTCCTATTGAGTGTATATCCCTAGATTGTCCCCCTCTCATTGCTTTATAACTTATAGTAAAACCCCTTCCTGTGACATATGTCTTTACCTGTAATTAGGGGGCTTGCATGTGCCCCCCCCCCCCAAATATTTAGGCCTGGGTTAGCAATAAAGAGCTCTTTCTCTCGGGTTCCCCTCTTGGCCTCTCCTTGGCTCCCTCTCCTCTCCCATCCTCACTCCCCTGTTCCCTTTCCCTTTGTCCTCCCTCCCCTCCCCCTCTCTCAATGTGGACCACCAAGTGGGGTTGAGGTGAGCATGTTACCATGAAATGTGTCTGACTCCATTATTTCAATCTCTCTTCTATCTCTCATACTCTCTAGGAATTCACTATAATCTTTATATACATTAACTGTACAATTGCACCTATCAAACCCATGATTAGTTATGGGGGGGCTGGCCTTTCCCTTCATATTTTTGTTTAATTTTAATAAATCATTTTATTTGGGGCTCTTACAGCTCTTATAACCATCCATGCATTAATTGTATCAAGCACATTTGCACATATGTTGCCATCATCATTTCCCAAACATTTTCTTTCTACTTTAGCCCTTGGTATCAGCTCCTCTTCCTACCCCCCACCCTTGTGAACCCTTGATTATTTATGAATTATTTTTATTTTCATATCTTACACCATCCGTTGTCTCCCTTCACCCACATTTCTATTGTTCATCCCCCTGGGGGTGGAGGGAGGGGGTTATACATTGATCATTGTGATCGTTTCCCCTTTCTCCCCCTTCTCCCTGCTCCATTTCCCTACCCTCATGGTATCACTACCCTCAGTGGTTCTGAGGGGTTTATCTGTTCTGGATTTTGTGTGTTAAGAGCTCTTATCTGTACCTGTGTACATGTTCTGGTCTAGCCAGATTTGTAAGATAGAACTGGGTCCATGAGAGTTAGGGGGAGGAAGCATTAAAGAACCAGAGAAATGTGTGTTTCATTGGTGCTATACTGTACCCTGGCTGGCTTGTCCCTTCCTTGAGACCCTTCTGAGAGGGGATGTCCAATTGTCTACAGATGGGCTTTGGGCCTCCATTCCAACCCCCCTCATTTGCATAGAAATGGTTGTTTGCTTTGGGTCTTCTGATGCCTGATCTTGTCAACACTTGGTGATCACATGTGTTGCAGTGTGGACTTTGCTGCTTCCCTGCTAGGTGGCTGATTTTTTAATTTCAACCTTTAAGACCCCAGACACTATATCTTTTGATAGCCGGGCACCATCAGCTTTCTTCACCACATTTGCTTATGCACCCATTTTATCTTCAGCAATTGTGTTGGGAAGGTGAGCATCACAGAATGCCAAGTTATTAGAATGAAGTGTTCTTACACTGAGGGAGGGCTTGAGCAGAGTCCCAAAGTCCATCCACTTCCTCAATGTATGGTCAGATAAATACATGTACATAGGCCAATATCTCTATTTTCATGAATTAATAAATTTACATAAGTGCACACTTATGGTTATACTTCTATCCATAGCTTTGCTTCCTAGATCTTTCCTCTGTTTCCTTTTAGGGATTCTTGCTTTAGAACTAGATTTAGAACTCAGGCAGTAGGTATATATATAGACATTCATTGAAAATTCCCTAGACTTTTCTCTATGTTTGAAATATTTAATAATAAACATTATGGGGACAAAAGGAATATCTCTCATCTCTATCTCAGGCCACCTTCCTTATAGGATCCTAGGAACTCAGACTGATCTGGCTTGTCCAGGTAGAACTTCTCTGTTCTCAAAATCCCTGATAAACACTGTCACCAAGGTTTCCAGGGACCCACCATTTAGCCAAGGCAGCTAATTTTCATGTAGGAATTCTATGTGGATTCTGAGTTCAGGGCTTCTGAGCCTGGAGATTACTCTAGGAATTCTAGATGAAGTCAGATGGATTTAGCTCCTATACTACCTCAGGCATTCTTGGTGGAAAATTAAGTAGAAAATGTTGATGAAAGAGGATGGGGCATCAATACCGCCAAGAAAGGTGGAGAAAATCTGGTGCTTACTTTGAAGGTTTTATGATTAGAGAACTTGCAGGAAAAAAAGAGATTCTCCAATTTGTTGCAGGTGTGGGGTTCTCCGCCCAGATTTGCACTAGCTGAGTACTGGGTGTTATGAATGTGCACCTAAGACAACCTGCTAAGTAGTTTGAATGTGAGAAGGTTAGCTGTGGTGGATTCTGTAGCTACCGCAGAAGATAGAAGCTGGTTGGTGTGAGAACACGTTCCATCTGGAAGAAACCACTTATTGTTAGGTGTGCATCAAGCACTTGATGTAAACCACTTCATTTAGTTCCCCAAATTATTCTAAACTTAGCCCCGTTATCTCAGGAGGAAGATGAGGCTGGGTGGCCCTGTAAATATTTACAATCTTGGAAAGCGATAAGCTGTGCTTCTCTGCCTTACAGGGTCACCGTGAGTCAGAATTGACAATGGACTTCATGGCAGCAGCTAGTTAGCTAGTTAACCCCATAATAGATAGAGTTTAAGTCATTTGTGTGAGGTTACAGGGTGGGTAGGTCACAGAGGCCAGATTGTATCTGAATTGTGGCCCCACAGTGATAAAGGTCAGGAGCACTGGCCACCCCCATCCAGGTGATGCCAGGGAGCACCTGCTGCTGATCCTCCTTTCTCCTCATCAGAAAGAAACCAGGCCTCATGCTATCACCAGGGATATGGGCCAAAGGTGTTGCAAAACAGTGTTGTGCGATGATAAAGAGACTTTCCCCCAGCTTTGTCTCCCTCAAAGACATGCCAAACATTAGAGGCTGTTTGCCAGCATATGGTGGGAGGTCAGATGCTTAGAGACATCCTCCCTGAAGGCAGCCAGTTGTCAGAGGACTGTCTGGGCCCACCACAGGCAGGGTCCACTACCTGTTGTTAAGGACAATGGGCTACTTCTCCCTAAAGGATTGCAGCCATCAGTCTGGTCCCTGTAGATGAGGTTTACACCCTACTGATAATGGTTTCTACAGTGAGCCAGAGAACAGGTCAAACCTGCTCAGTGACATCCCAAGTTAGGCTGTCATCCTGAATCCAGGATCCGCCCTTCTTGTCACATGTATACCCCCAATCACTCCTCTTCCTATTGCGTGGATACCCCTAGATTGTACCCCTCTCATTGCTCTATAACCTATAGTACAACCCCTTACTGACTTTACCTGTAATTAGTGGGCTTGCATGGCCCCCAAAGATATATAAGCCTTGGTTAGCAATAAAGTTTCCCCTTGGCCTCTTGTTGCTCCCCTATTCCCCTTCCCTTTGTCCTCCTTCCCCTCCCCTTCTCTCCTGCCTTCCGATCTCCCATCTCCACGTGGACCACTAAGCGGCCTGAGGTGAGCATGTTACCAAGAAATGTGTCTGACTCCATTATTTCAATCTCTCTTTATATAGCTCAACCATACAATTGTGACTATAGAATCCGCGATTAGTTGTGGGGGGCTGACCTTCCCCCCCCCCCCCCCAGTGCTATCACCACAGTGACAGCAACCCCAACTGTCAGCCTTCTTACTTTTAACAGAGACATTTGAAAAATTATAATAGGTAGTTCAGTGACAACCATAACAGCTGAATTTGGCTTGCCCATCTTTAATAGTTTCCAAACAAGTCATGTAATCATAATCAGTATCATAGCATTCATGGCTTTCAGATAATTTCTAATCTATACAAGAAGTTAGCATGATCCATTTTTCTAAATTCATTATGCAGTTAAGAAACAGATGCTCTTGGGGACGATGTTCCCACTCAGAGCAGCCAGTCCATAGAGAGGACCACATGACCAGCCCCACTATGAGACAGGACTCCCCTCACTGATACATAGCTCTACAGGGGACAACACTGGAGACACAGTGTGGGAATTGCGCCCAATCTGATCCTGCCACAACGAGGCAAAACACTAAGGGGGTGCAACAGAACAGCAAGGGAATGGATTGGCGAGGTCACCAGGGAATGCTGAAGGTGGACTTTGGGGCCAGGGCCTGGTGCCCCAACAGACTGAACTGGAAAACACTCCTAAAGGCCAACAAACAGTTACTGAACTAACCACAAGCTATTCTTTCTTGTTATGTTTTGTTTTGCGTTTGTCATTGGTTTGTTGTTGTTGTTTTGTTTTATATTGTTGCTCAGTTTTGCTCTGTCTTGTTTTTGTGCATGTTATTATCTCCGCGGGTCTGTCTAAATAAGATAGGCTGGATGAACAATCTGGAGGAGAAAACAACAGGAGCAACAGTTCCTGGGGGACATGGGAGAAGAGGAGATGGGGAAAAAGGTAGTGGTGTTAACAAACCCAGGGACAAGAGAACAACAAGTGATCCAAATCGGTGGTGAGGAGGGTGTAGGAGGCCTGGTAGGACGTGATCAAGGGTAACGTAAGCAAGAGGAATTACTGAAACCCAAATGAAGACTGAGCATGACAGTGGGACAAGAGGAAAGTAAAAGAAAATAGAGGAAAGAGCTAGGAGGCAAAGGGCATTTATAGAGGTCTAAATAAAGGCATGTACATATGTAAATATATTCATATATGAGGATGTGGAAATAGATCTATGTGCATATACTTATAGGTTTAGTAATTAAGGTAACAGATGGACATTGGGCCTCCATTCAAGTACTCCCTCAATGCAAGAATACTTTGTTCTATTAAACGGCATTCCACGATGCACACCTTCCTGATACAATCGCTGAAGACAAAACGGGTGAATGAGCAAATGTGGTGAAGAAAGCTGATGGTGCCCGGCTATCAAAAGATATAGCGTCTGGGGTTTTAAAGGATTGAAAGTAAACAAGCAGCCATCTAGCTCCGAAGCAACAAAGCCCACATGGAAGAAACACACCAGGCTGCATGATCACGAGGTGCTGAAAGGGTCAGTTATCAGGCATCAAAGAACAAAAAAATCATATCATCATGAATGAGGAGGTGGGGGAGTGCGGAGTGGAGATCCAAAGTCCATTTGTAGGCCACTGGACATCCCCTTACAAAAGGGTCTTGGGGAGGAGACGAGCCAGTCAGGGTGTGATGTAGCAATGATGAAAAATGCAACTTTCCTCTAGTTCCTAAACGCTTCCTCCCCCACATCACTACCATGATCCCAATTCTACCTTGCAAGTTTGGCTAGACCAGAGGATGTACACTGGTACAGATAGGAACAGGAAACACAGGGAATCCAGGGCGGATGATCCCTTCAGGATCAGTGGTGTGAGTGGCGATACTGGGAGGGTAAATGGAGGGGAGTTGGAAAGGGGGGACCAATTACAAGGATCTACATGTGACTTCCTCCCTGGGGCATGGACAACAGAAAGTGGGTGAAGGGAGACGTCGGACAGGGCAAGATATGACAAAATAATAATTTATAAATTATCAAGGACTCATGAGGGAGGGTGGAGCACAGAGGGAGGGGAAAAATGAGGAGCTGATGCCAGGGACTTAAGTGGGCAGCAAATGTTTTGAGAATAAAGAGGGCAATGAATGTACAAATGTGCTTTACACAATTGATGTATGCATGGTTTGTGATAAGAGTTGTATGAGCCCCTAATGAAATGATTAAAAAAAACACAGATGCTTACATAGCTAATAATTGATGGAGTAAAGACTTAACACCAAGTGCTTCTGATTCTAAAATAAGGTTTCTTTTACCCCACCTACTCTAAAAACATTTCCCCCAAATCCAAAAAACAACACCCAGCTGTTTTCTATACCAAAGAAGAAGGTGTGCGCTTACCCCAATTCACAAACCAGACCAAGGGAGAGGCTCTTTGCCCTGCACTGTTCCAGTGTACTTCACTGATCATGTATGGCCTGGATGTTAGCTTATTTCAGTTCACACAACAAACCAGGGCATAAAAACACTTCCTCTGTTTTTATGGTGAGCAAGAATAAGATTGAAAGTGAAGAGAGCCCAGTCCAGAACTTCCTGCTGCTTAGCAATGAGGTCCAAGATCAGCAACTCCCACCCACATATCTAGGAGTTTTTCTAGCACTTCCATCTTCCTCCTCCCAACGATCGCTCCACAGTACCTAGTACCATCATTCAGGACCTGGGGGAAGCAGATCGCAGAGGGGTAGCACCGCCATACTCCCAGGTGGCTGAGATCCCGGGTGGCTGATACCCTCCCAGGGGGGTGGGTATGGACTCCTGGATCAGCCCTGCCTGCTGGGTAGTACGGGGACAGCCATGTTGCTAGGAGATGTTTCCCAGCCACTAGCAGGGGTTCGTCCTTGAAGAGGAGGTAGGGCCTTGGATAGAAACAGAATGGCGACAACACGGAGGAGAGAAAAGTTAGAGATCACCTAGCCCAGGGCCACCAGATACATCTCGGTAAAGCCTGGGCCAGGAGATGTGAGAGACACCAAGAATATGGAAAGAAGCTCCAACAATTCTGTTCCGCCCTAGCCCACTGGAAGCTGACTTGCAATCAGGGGCATTTTTCTGCTTCTTTCTGTGGATTTGACCTACATTGAACAGGAACAAACTCATCACTTGATTTTTTTTTTCCAAAAAAAAAAAAATTAGAGGAACATAAGCTGATCTTAGTTCATTGACAAGAAGACTAAATACATACATAAATAAATACACATGCATATGCAGGGCTCAGAACAAGGGGTAGCCCAGGAACAATTGCCTTAAGCAGAGGAAATGGACCAGCCTCAGAGAAACACTCGTCATAAATATTGGTAAGCATATTTCCTGTGGACTTACCCACGAGGAGAAAGAGGAGAGGAGTCCACAGAGTAGGAAGGAATTTGTGGGATAGAATCCTCGGCAGATGAACCGAGAAAGGCACCGGAAAAGAGTCATCTGTATCTCTCTGCGGGTCCGCCATTATGGTCTCATTTTTAGCTTTCAACGTGAAGGAGGAAGAACTTATCACTTCCGCAAGTGTAACCCAGAGAAGCTGAGCTATATAGCCTGCACCACGGACTCCTCTCCCCAAAGTCTATTCAGGGTATTCGTGGGACTTGCACTATTATTCAAGCATCCTGTACTTCTCTCACTTCCTTCCTCTCACAGCTTGAGGTTAGAGACGTGCTAGCACTTGTAGATTTAAATCAACTTCCCCACTCTGAGGCTCTCTTTGTTCCCCTATTGCCAGTAATGGAAGTGATCATTCCCCGTGCTCTTGCCACAGGTCAAATTCCTGTTTAAGGCTTGACCTTCTCCATCGCTCAGTGCATGCGATGAGGATGAAGTTTCTAACACTTTACATATCTCAATTCATTTAATCCCATTTTAAGGTACAAAAGAGACTCTAATTGTCAGGGGGAGGGTGTCCCCAACATTCGAACGGGTCCTCAGGAGCAACTTTGAGATTGTGGAAAATATTAAAGACAGACAGACAGACAGCAGGGCACAGGGGCTCCTCATACCATGTCAGGACTGAAAGAATGTATTTTCCAATGGGTATATATAATGGGGCTTAGAGATCTTTCATAAGGCATGAACTCATACAGCTAACATATTACATAGTTAATGGATAATATCATAAGCGAGTAACAATAAACAGGCAATGACATGAGTCATTGTCTTGGCCTAGTCCCAGTGGACTTCAACTGCCACCTTGAGCCCTCCCCAGGGGTAGGTATCTCTGATCAGTATCAGCAAGAGATGTCAAAACAGAGTTTGCTCTATTTTACAGTGGGTTGACTATAGAACCTGATTGCTTTTATATACACAACACCTTTAGGCATGGTGAAGTAACCAGACACAGAATTGATTTATCTTATATGGTAGCTCCTTTATGACAGTTCCTTTATGGGGGTGGGGCAGGTTCATTGGAGGTATTCTGTGCAGTCATGAGAATGTGTATTAAGATTTATTTATATCTCATAACTGTGAGGGTCTTCTCCCACCAGAGTTGGCTTTCCAGACCCGTAATTATGAGCATAGAAGATTTGACTGCATTACATTCTCATCCATTCTTATTATTTATTCATTTTATTAGGGGCTTATGTGACTCTTATCACAATCCATACATACATCAATTCTGTAAAGCACATTTGTACATCCATTGCCCTCATCATTCTCAAAACATCTGCTCTCCACTTAAGCCCCTGACATCAGCTTATCATTTTTCCCCTCCCTCCCCGCTACTTCCTCCCTTATGAGCCCTTGATAATTTATAAATTATTATTTTGTCATATCTTGCGCTGTCTGACGTCTCCCTTTACCCATTTTCTGTTGTCCATCCCCCAGGGAGAAAGTCACATGTAGATCCTGGTAATTGGTCCCCACTTTCCAACTCCCCTCCCTTTACCCTCCCAGTATTGCCACTCACACCACTGGTCCTGAAGGGATCATCTGCCCTGGATTCCCTGTGTTTCC